AGGCATATTTGAAGAAATTACATTCTTTTTGAAATTATCAATAGATCAGTAGAACAGATTAATAGAAAATAAATTGGATTACATACAGCTATAGAAAAGATGTGGTTGTAATACCCATTCCTAAAAATAGTTATTTATTTAAATAGGTAGGATAGTCTCATAATTATGAGCCCATCTATTTAAACAAATCATATTAATTTGATTATCTGATTCATTCTAGTTTAGTAAATTTTTGTTCTTTTATGTTTTCCTAATAGTTAAAAAAATTAGTTATTTAGATATTTTTTAATTCCTATTAAATTTGTAAACGCATTTTCGGGTCACGGTAACTATAAAGCCGGTTGTCTACGTTGATTGTCTAAATTTTTAATTATTTAACATTTTAAAATACAAAAATTTCAGATATCCATTTAGATTAGGTTTAAAAGTACTTGTCTACAGCTACCTATTCAGATCTATAAGTGGGACTTTGTTATTTAGAGTTGGTCTAGCTCTTGCATGTCGTTACATGTTTCAGGCTTTTTTACCTAATATTAGAAACCTCAATCTGGCTAGGCCTTCACGCTGACACAGGACGTGGATTGGTATTTTCTCTTCTTATTTATAAAGCATGAACGACGTTGCTTCTCCTGCTGAATTGTAGATTTGTAGACACTAATGTGCTTTCTTAGGGCAACAGTGTCCGGTAAAAAGACTTACTGTTATCCCTACGATTCATCGTTTTTGATCCAGTAGGTCTTTCGTGAATTTGGCCGACGGTTCCTTAATTTCTTGATTGTTTCGGCCTTTACTTGATGAAAATCCATATTATTAAAAGTAGAAAAACCAATCATGGTGGATTTTCACACACTTTTATTAAAAAAAAAATATAAATTACAGACAATTGTTTCGAAGTACAACTTCTTCTTTAAATGAGGTTCCTTAATTGTTTCTCTATGACTTATCTTAGTCCTGGATATTTTTGTTCCACCATTCCTGAGACTATTTTTGCATCCATTCTTTTGTGGATGCCTTGCCCAATGCCTTAGCAACTCCACAGAAAGATTCGGTGCCGCTCATGGCTTTATCTGATACTTCTCGGGCTAGTTCGTCGGCTTTTTCATTTGTGGGCGATGGTCTATAACAAAGGTTCCCAAACTCTTTTGTTTCATAGACCACTTTCAAAAGTTTGCTAGATCCGGTAGTTAAATATTGATTCACCTTTAGTGTCTGCCTTCAAAGTTTTCGCGAATAGCAGCTCTTCATGAATTTCTTCGCCCATAACAAATCGAACATATGCCAAATAATAATGCTTCATTGCCAGGTAAAGTTGACTCGTCCAGTTAAATAGAAAAATGAGTTGTTCGTAGATAATCACATAAGAAACTTTCAACATCAGAGCTCATTTCATCAATACGTCTTTGTACAGTGTTGTTACCCAAAGGAATTCTTTTGAGTATTAACTGTTCTCCAATGGTGTGCGGTTTTTCAGATTTTGCGATAAGTAATGAGATATTGTAAGATACCCGCAAGCCATCATCGTTGCTTTCAGACGTTGAAGAGAACATACTGTGCACGGTGGGTCTCATTTCATATTTTTCATTTAATGTTTGGAAATATTTCAAATCTTTACCTATTTCATCAGGATGACACCTTCTTAGATGATCTTCCAGCTTTGATGGTTTCATAGAGTCATTGCTCAAAACTTTGTTGCATAAAAGGCATGTGGGCAATCGTTTGTCTGCCTTTGATGGAAGAAAACAAAATTTTAAATATTCAACACTGTACTGACGACATTTATACTTACCACTTTTAAATAATATTAGTACTAAGCAAAACGAGAATCTTGTTTGTTTGAAGATGCACAAAAAAGTTAAATTATTTTATGTTTTCTAGTGACGAAATGTAAATAAATAAAAGAATTTCGAATTTAGTGTTTGTAGGAACACAAAAACAGCCACAACCATTTCGCTTAGTTCATCTAGAGGATAACACAATCAAGAACTCAAAATTTAAAAATCAAATTCAGGATTCTACGAAATACATACAACATCTATGCATACAACTAATTGAAATTTATATTTACAAACTGTCCACATCTACTGTCTGTCTACAAACGACGTGTACCTTTAGTTAACATCTGAGATGCATAGATGACGCCATCGTTGTTGCGTTTGCTATCTTTATGTTCCTAATCTCTGATTTGTACATAAGAGATATAAAGAGATACTTTAGTGAATCAGCAGTTTACCTTCCGTAATTGGATAGATGCCTTTACTGCCACTAGTATCAGAAAAACTATAAATTTACCTAAAAAGTGTAAATCTACAGAAAAAGCGTAAATTTACAGAAAAAGTGTAAATTTTCTAAAAATATTTTGCAATGTGGTATGACAGCTCCACTTTTTCGTTAATAATATATGACTCTTAACACTAAAAAATATAGTATTTATAGGAAATTTCCTTAACGAAACTCTTAAGAAAGATCATTTTTTTTAAACGCTTCTCACCTGTTCTTTAATAAAATGAACAGTATTATGAAATTATTGATTATAAATTTGACAGGTGACAAGAACAATAGAAAACAAATTAGCAATAATTGAAACAATTTGAAAATGAATACGTGATAACATTAAATGATATATGATTAAAATGATATAATATAATTAACAATTTCGTTGACTCTCTATTACTTTCTTTGATAAATTTTAATTTGTTTAGAATATTTTGAAGTTCATCTTATTCAAGACGTTTATGCAACTGAATATAATAACCGACAGTGAATTATACAGGGGAAAGTACATAACCTAAATGACTTATAGCCATGAAATGATTTATACTTTTAATTTTGTACCTATATAAATCTATATTATTACAAAAATAATTACTGTAACATTGTTTTATTATATTTACCGAGATTTTTACCCATGCACAAATTATTATACTTTAGTTAAAGCCTTTGTTACATTTTGCAAGGAAATATTCTCAAGGATATCGATTATTTTTTAGTTAGAAAAATTAAAGGCATAATCTAACTGTCTACGTAAGTTAGCGGCATACAGAAAAAATTTTATTATTAATTTTAGGAAAAAAGTTATTCATCATAAAAAGTTCTTCATGACCTGAAACCCAAAATTAAATCATCTGATACCAAATTTTATCAGTCGTATATGAGGTCTATCAAAATTTAGCAAAATTTATATTTTTTACCGCACCTCGTATTCGGCCTTAAAAATTTAATATCTGATGTTTGCATTTTAGGTTTTAGACCATGCAGAACATTTTATGAAGAATAAGTTTTTTTTTTTCGTAAAATTAATAATAAAACCGTTTCCCATGTGGTGCCGACTTAATTAGACACACTGTATAACAAGCCTTTGCACAAAATGTTCATAAAATAAGTAGTATAATGAAACACGAAATCACAAGAATATCAAGTTAATGATTAAAAGTCTTTAAAGAAATAAAATTAAAAAGTTTCATCTAAGTATTTAGATTTGACAAGATTAAAAGTAACTAAATGTAGTGAGACAGTGTTACCACACGAAAATTATGATTTTTAAAATGTAAATTTATAAAAAAATTGGAACATGGATTTCAAAATAACCTATTAATTAATGAACAATAAATTATCATCGAAATTATGAAATAAGCCGTTTAAATAAACTCACCTTTATAAATCCAATAATCAAATTTCAATAATGTAACTAAACTGTCAAAATTTTGATTGGCTATTTCCTTTTTTTATCCAACTTGATGAAAAATTCAAATCAGAATTTGTTGATAAAACAAGAGAGTGGGTAGCAAGTAACGAAGGAGGAAGGACATGTAAAATTTTTCCTTCTAATTCCTTTCCAAAACTCCTTTTTCCTAAAAAATAAAGAGACAGGAAAATAAAATCTTCAATGTTTATTTATAAGTACTAAACTAGTGTATAAATGTCAAAGGTAATATTAAATTTAACTTACCCATGGAAAATCATGTAAAACTGCCCGAAGACGAGTCCCCCAGGAAAACATCCTCACCGCTGTATGCACCGGCATGCTAGACGAAAGGCCTCCGGTTCTCCCAGGTATTTGTAATATCTGCTTCTGTTTATGGACACTGAAAAGAAAAACGTTTAACACTTGGACATCTCATATTTCACAGTGAAACACAGGTATTTTAATTAAAAACTATCATTAGTGACTGATTTAAAAAAAAACTACTTACCATAATTGAGTATTTAAGTAATCGTAAAGACGATAAATCTTTCTATTTACGTCTTAAATAGTGTCACAACTTTGTAGAGGCATTTTGGGTTGGTTAGGTTCTAAGCCATCTTTTGTCCGATTTGAAAAATTACCATATAGCCGGTCAAAAGATTGCTACTTACATTAAGAAGCGCCGTGCAGTGAGTAGAACATTAAGCCACGGTAGCTAACTGTATTTTTGTCGCATAATGCGCCATTTTCGATCCAAGAATCGATCTTTAAAAAAAAATTTAAATCTGGGTTAGTGGACTAGTTAGAGCACATTATTCATCCCTTCCCGTTTACCTTTAGTGCACCCCGCTTCTTCACCGTTAGTTTGAATTGGACTGTTTTAGTTGGTATATGTGTATGTGAATTACGATTACCTTTGATATGTGTGTAAAATCGACAACTCATCGATTACCGGTGACAACTGTCAATCATGGCCAATTGTCGAGAAATAGGCCCTCCACACAGTTGTACTCGCATGTGATCGCCCTTGAAGGTCAATCATGTATAAAAGCTCTAATAACTTATAGTATCCATTGCACTATCATTGTTTTATTTTTGTTTTTCTTCTAGCTTATTAGCCGAAACTAGTTGCCCTGCCTGATAAATTTTATTTTTTACCTGTGTTTACCTTCCCCATTACGTTTATATTTTATATTTTTCATTTATTTTTTGTCACACATAGACAAACTTTATTGGCCTAGCTATTGGTTTGTTGAAGATGGGGATAGAATTTCATAACAATATCAACAATATTTAATCACAATTTTATTTGTTTCAGAAATCTACCGCAGATCCCGACACACCTAAACCTATTTCAAGAGGAAGAGGTAGATCAAGATTCGTTTCTCCATCTGAATATTCAGATCCTCCTTCATCTACGGAATCCTCTTCGCGAAAAACAATCGCTTCGAGAAGGCGAGTAGTTGAAAATATAGAACAAAAGTTTCCGTCCAGGTCTTCAGTTGCATCTAGTACTCCGAAACAAGCGATTTCAACGAATGCTAATAGGAGAACAGCTTCAGTCGTTCAGACTGCTGATACAATTTTTTTAAATAACGACAAAGTAGCTAGACCTTCACTGGTGGAGAACGTAGGTAGAAATACTCCTGCGCCATCGACTTTTCGAGCATTTAATAAACGACCCAAAAATTCGTATGAAGTAGAAGAAACACCAGATGACATAGATCCATACCGAAGAAAAAAACCTAGAGTACTAACCGAAACTAACTTTAAATCTTCCAATTTCCCAAAACGAGCTTTAGAAAATTCAGAACCGCCAAGCACTTCCGCCAAAATATCAAAAAACTTACTAACACCAGACTCCCCGCCGCCACTTAGTACTTTGGGAAACACCAATTTACTCGAAGAACAGCTGCTGGATACAACTCTAAAACCAGAATTAGAAACACCTATTGGCACTTTAACAGAAGATGAAATTCAGGAAGAAACTCAAAAAACTATACCAGTTTCTTCAACTGTCAAACCAACAGAACCACCCAGACCACCTGGTAAACGTCGAACCGGAGTCAGAAAAGTCGTAAATAGGGTAACAGAACCTGTGATTGCAACTCCTGCACCTGGTGGTAGAGTTAGAACAAGGAATAGACCTACGCAGGCTCCGGATTTTTATTTTCAAAGTGTATCAACGTCTGTACCATCCACTAGCTTTCGAAGGAGAGTAGATTCATTGTTTTCTGCAATAGAACCAAGGTAATTTATCATTAGTTTTAAAATACTCATTAAACTATTAATTATCATGTAGCAACACTTTAATATTTAGATAATGGATGGATAATGCTTGTAATACATCGATTTGTTAAATTTAATTACTTCTCTTTTCCTTAAGTGTATTTCAAATTTTTAGGAGGCCTTCTCTATCTCTATTTAAATTAGGGTGTGGCTTAAAGCCTACTCGTACTGAATCTCTAGGCTAATTGTACCCCACACAGTTTCTACCCCATCAGATTAATATTCTTGATGAATTCAAGGATATATCTGATGGGCGTTTTCGCGATTTCTTTAGGTTTCGGAAAGTTCTACTCTAGGAGATTAAGGTGTCTTCTAAGGCTACAATGTCCCGTAAAGAGTCCTATTACGGCCTTTAGTTCGCGTCTGTTAAGGTTTATTAGTTGATTTTGTCGGCTCTTGGATGGACCCTTTTGGACTCTAAGTTCAAAGGTTCCAATCAGAGTCTTTGGTGTTTTCTATTTATCTCTTCCTCTAGCACCCATTTAACATGTTAATAGTAACTAACACACGTGGGTTCTTGTCCAGTTAGAGTTTCCTCACCTCTTTTCTTAGCTAGGAGGTCTGCCCTCATGTCCCGGAATCAATTCAAGAGTGACGACCTTGTTAAGTTCTTCCAAGGCCTGGAGGAAGTGTTTTCAATCAAATATCAGTTTAGATTGTACTTTTAACCTCTTTAGTGCTTTATAGGCTGCTTGACTGTGTGTCATAATAAAAACCCTCTTATTTCTAAAAGAGTCATTTAGCATAACTTTGGCGCAGACATATATTGCTTACTTTAAGACTATTGTCAGTGACCTCAGGTTCAGACTAATGGTCCTTCCTGAGTTCACATGGTAAATCCCAGGCTCTGTGCTGTTTTTTTTATCTTCGAACCGTCTGTATACCAAATTAATTAATTTTGTATTTTCCTATTTTCCCGGAAAGGGCTAAAATCTGGTATTTAAATATCAAAAGGTTTCCAAAATAAGAGATGTTCTATCCGATGGCATTTTTAATACCGTATTTTGTTTTAATTTGGCTAATATTGCATGGTATCCTTTTCTCAAAGGTTTCAATCCAAATCCATTAGTAAAGAGCTTGTATGCCCCGCCACTGCTTCCTTCTCTACCACAAGATGTATTGAAGGAGGACCTAGCAGTAGTTCCATTGCTGCAGTGGGTGTAGTTCTACATACCCCTGTTATAATTAGACCAAGCCAAAGACAGGAATCTCACTGAGCTTAGGTAAATATGCGACAGTATTCCAGGCAGAAATAGCAGCAATACATCACTGCGCAAAAGAAGTATTAAGTAAAAAGGTAAATGGAAAAACCATTGTCATATACTCAGACAGTCAAGCGACGTTAAAAGCACTCAGTTCCATGCAGGTACACTCAAAGCTTGTGTGGGACTGTTTGGAAGCCCTAACAGAGCTGGGTAGTCAAAACAGACTAACCTTAGCCTGTGTACCAGGCCACAGGGGACACAAAGGCAATGAAGAGGCTGATTTACTAGCCCGAGAAGGAGCTTCAAATGCTCTTATTGGCCCAGAACCCTTCTGTGGTGTAACAAAAACAACTATCAGAACATGCACAAAGCAGTGGATGTTTAAAAAATCTCAGGAGTGGTGGGAAAACTCACCAGGACAGAGACAGGCCAAAAAGTTCTTAAAGGGACCATCGTCTAAACTCACCGAGCATCTACTAAGCCTTAATAGGAAAAATACTAGAATACTAGTAGGTCTATTAACAGGACATTGTAGGCTTAACAAACATATCTTCAATATCGGTCTGACAGAAGAGGCCTTGTGCCGATTCTGTCAAGAAGAAGAGGAAACGGCAGAACACGTATTGTGCTACTGCGAAGGTCTAGTAAGACTGAGATTCCTTACACTTGGAGAAGAAAAACCAAGGGCAACTAGCTATACCGGAGAACTACTTCCCAGTCTATGGAGTCTACTACAAAAGACCGCATTAGATAGGGTACTCTAAACAATGATTAAAGGATATCCACAATAGATCTGAAAAGGTCGAGGTGGGGGAGGCCACATGGCCGATAGTCCTAATTAAATCTAATCTAATCTATAATTAGACAGGTCAGTCTCAAGAGCATCTTATTAGTACTTTATATATTTTTATCTTTTTTATTGATAGTACTTTTTAGAAGAGTTTCTGTCGTAGGCTCTCTTTTTTTTAAGGATCCTTTCTTTTTGGTTTCCATATTGTTCCTAGTTAGTTAAATGATGTGACTTTTTCAAATTTGTTTCTCTTTGTTTTCAGGTATTTCTGCATATTACTTTCTTTTCTTCCTACTTTTATATATTGTGTTCTGTATCATGTATCTGTTGTAGTCCTACTTGTTCTTCATTCATGTTGCCTTGTGTTTTGTTCTACCTTTGAAGATAGGAAGGACATTTTTAATGATGCTACTATTTGACATAGTCTGTGTCCATTGTCGTTTGCTTCTTCATATTATATTGTATTCTTTTTCGTTTCCTTTTACTTCCAATTTGTTAATAATATACAAACATTTTTCTTTCCAGAAAAGGACCATCAGTCTTCAATGCCGATACTACAGCATCTGAGTCGCGTTCAAGAACAGGAAGGAAAATAGATTTGCTGCCCACTGAGAAAATTCCCAGCAGGGGTCGTCGAGTGACCATAACTCCAACAACCGTCAAAAGTACGCAAACATCTACGTTACGATCTAGAGGTGGTAGATTTCGTTCCCGTGAGATGCCAATTATAGACGAACAGAAACTTGAAGTTTTACCGTTATTTGAAGAGGAACCGAAAATTGTTCCAACCAGAGGTCTCAGCAGAAATGAAAATTCAGATTCCAAATCTAAAGAGTTAAAGAAAGCAGATGTAACGAAATCAAGAACGTCTAATAGAGATGAGAGAACTAGACATTCTAATAGAGCTGATGCGGATTCTAGATCTAAGAATAAAGTATCTTTTGTAGAAAAAGAAAAACCAACTATTATCAAAAAAGAGAATATTGATTTAAACTCCCGGCGCAGAGGATACCCAGCAGATTACATTGAAGCCAGTGCTACAGAAACTGACATGAAAATTACTATTACCGCCGTCAATGTAGAAAGTACAACACAGCCTCCTAAACCCTCTACACCTTCTCGCAACACTCAAGTCAAAGAATCGGTTACACAAGAAATAAACGAAGTGACGTCAAGAAGAAAAGTGTCGAGGAAGAAAGTAATCAAGCAAAAAGTTCCTAGTTTTCGTGGAACCAAAAAATCGGAAGTAAAATTAGAAAAGAAACACAGCAGTGAGGAAATCGGAGAATCCGATAACTATCCGGAAGAATTTAAGGCGCTTTTGAAGGCTAAAAAAGAACATAAGGTTAGTTTGAAAATAATTTATGGTAAAAGTATTTTTCCGGTTGAGACAGAAAGTTGCCATAATGAATTGCATACAATATTTTTTCTACGATCATATTATTTTAATAAACAGAAAAATATATACACAGATGTGTTTCAAAAATTATGAAAAATGAGTAAATATTGAAAATATATATTAAATAGATAATAACACAAAAGCAATAACGGTTAATTTAATATATAAAAGATTTAACGATTTGATAACTACATAAGTACCTTAAATTTAAATTCATTTATTGTAAATAGCTTATCTATCACCATTTATTAAGCATGAAAAATTTAATTGCCTACCTTCTGATCTTCACAACATTTTTATACAGGGTGTTTCTTATGCTAATATTTAAGGGGGCGATTCTTGAAACTATTTTAAGATAAAAAACTTCATATGAATGTATGTCCTAAACGTATTAACTTTTGAGATATAGGGTGTTAACGTTTTAAGAATTTTTTATTGTCAAAAAATGCTTTTTAATACATAAATGCCATACACCAAATTTCATAAAAATATTTAAAGTGGTATGAAAATGACAATAAAAAATTAACACCCTGTATGTAAAAGGGTTAAGCCGTTTAGGACATACATGCATTTAAAGTTTTTTTCTTAAAATGAGTCCAAGAATCACTCCCTTAAATATTAGCATGTTATTAGGAAACACCCTGTATAGTTGGTATTATCTATAATTAGGGTTACATTTTTCTAAAGATCTTCATATATTAGAAAAATATGGTAGAAATTAGAATACCGTTGACATTTCTAATTTATTTCATACATTTAAACCTTAGATAAAAGTAACCAGAGATATAACATACACCGGTGTTTAACCTGTGCAAATGTTGCCAATTTCTAAAGAAAGGTTAACGGAGTGGGGGAACTGGACAGGGACCCGAACTTTATGACAGGGACCGGACTTTGTTTATTAGCATCAAAATGAACTATTAGATTTATTTAAAATATACGTTCAATGGAATTTTGTATTATGAAATAAATTTAACGTCATTTTTTAATATCAAACAGATGCCACGACATTTTATGTAAAGAGAGGACCTTTTATAGAATATTTCGTTAGCTACTACGGACTTTTCTGTAAGAGACTACAGTAAAATGTTGAAATAGAATATTGTTAATCTAGTAAAAAATGTCTAAGAGTATTATAAAAAAAGCATGTGCGCAGGCGAATACTGCAAATCAAACCTTGTGAGTTGCACAATATATTTTTTCTACGACTATCACATAATATTAAAAATTAGTCAAAATGAGAAAATGCTGGTTTGTATTATAACCTCAGAAAAAGATATATTAAAGCTTGTTTCTTTAGGAATATTAATTAATATAGAGGATGAGTCACATAAAACTCTAGAAATGCATATGTCTGAAACCAGATAACATTTTAAAGTTTAAACCTATTAAAAGTCATTTGGTCGCCAGGAGTGGGAGATTATCGAAATAAATTATTGATTATTAATAATAATCGATTATTTTCGATCAATCGATTATTTTCAAACAATAATTTTTGTTCGTATTTCCTTTAAAATCGATTATTTTTGAAAAATCAAAAATAGATTAATTTAAAAGCCAATTAACCAATAGATCAGTGTTTACAAAAAATAATAAACTAATTATCGTTTATTTTAAATAATCGATTATTTTTAAATTATCTATTTTTTTTTTCGTATTTCCATTGAAACAGATTATTCGATAATCTTTGAAAAATCTAAAATGATCGATTAATCAAAAATAATCGATTAATTAAAAAGTCGAATAATCGATAAATCGATTAAAAAAAAAAGAATTATTTCCTTTAAAATCAATTATTCGATCATTTTTAAAACATCGAAAATAATCGCTTTATCGAAAATTATCGATTAAGGGAAAATAACCAATTAATTAAGAAGCCGATCCTACGTTAAATCGATTTTCCAAAAAAATAACTGAATTATCGATTATTTTCAAATTATCTTTTTGTTTTCATATTTCATTTAAAATTAATTATTTGATTATCTTTGAAAAATCGAAAATAATCGATTAATAAAAAGCTGATTGACCGATAAATCGATAACACTAAAAAATAACCGAAATATCTATTATATAAAATAACCGATTATATTCGATCAATCGATTATTTTCATATAATCTATTTTTTCGCAATTCCTTTAAAACAAATTATTCGAATACCTTTAAAAAATTGAAAATAATCGATTAATCTAAAATATTCGGTTAATCGAAAATAACCGATTAAGCGAAAATAATCAATTAATTAAGAAGCTGATTCTACGATAAATCGATTTTTCAAAAAAAAAAATAACTGAATTATTGATTATTTACAAATAATCCTTTTCTTTTTTCATATTCCTTTTAAAATTGATTATTTAATTTTCTTTGAAAAATCAAAATAATCGATTAATAAAAAGCTGATTGACCGATAAATCGATAATTCTAAAAAATAACCGAAATATCGATTATATAATATAACCGATTATATTCGATCAATCGATTATTTTTATATAATCTATTTTTTGTATTTTAAAACAAATTATTCGAATACCTTTGAGAAATCGATTATTCGAAAATAATCGATTAATCGAAAATATTCTATAAATCGAAAATAATCGATTAATTTAAAAAGTCGATCAAACAATAAATCGATTTTTCTAAAAAAAAAACGATTATTTTCAATAAATCTACTCTCTTTTTGTAATCCCTTTATAATTCCTTTACCTAAAAAAACGAAAACAATTTATTGAAAATGTTCGATTAATCAAAAATAATCGATTAATTATAAATTAATTATAAATCGATTTTCATGAAAACGATAAAACGATTATTTTTGTAACTCCTATCGGTCATGCTTTTATCCGAGCATTTAGCTCTAAAATTTATGGATTCGGATTTATTGATCCTGTTATCTTTGAAACCGCTTGAAACCGCATTCGATTGTATAATAAATATTGCTAGAATTTAGATTTTTTTAGTAAACGAAGATTTTTTGTTTTCGAGTTGTTTAGGGGTTTATAATGTAACATTTTACTAATAATATGACTAATTTCCGTAACTTTAGTATTTTTTGCTTATACTAGATCATATTGCGCGTTTTACTTTATTTTAAAACTTAAGATTCAAATGTCACTTCCGATTTAACCGCAAATAAAATTAACCTTGAAATTTTAAGTAGGTGAGCCTGTATTTCATCTAATATTCTTGTAAAAATACCTAATAAAGGGCTAAAAACCACCTTTAGTAAATATTCTTATAAAACTACATTTAAAAACAAAATTTCGTTAGTAACAATGCCTATTTACTTCTTATTAAATGTTTAAAATTTTACTCTTTTGTAAATTAATGCATTATGAAATCTATTTTCTGAAATATTATGTATTTGACGCTTAATATTTATTGAAACCCCTTAATGCGGATCTGAAGTATTCAGCTCAAAGAATCATGGCGACTTTATGTCAAAACGTCAACAAATATTTACCGCTGAAAACGAATATATTTCTTATTTTTCATAACATTGACACTTATATTATTTGTATATACAATGTTTCACCATACATCGTGGCACTTTCAACTTGAAATTGAATAACTAAAACACTTTAAATTGCTAATAACACCAACAAATAATTCAAAAAACGGCGGTCCATAATGATTTACTCACGCGGAGACAAGCATAGAATAGACATTTCGGAGCAATTCGGGTGGCGTCGTGAACACAATGATTTTTAATTGGTGGGTTACTTGGAGTTAAAACAGACAACATGCGCAGTGTGCAATGTTACATCTCCGGTCTCTTTTATCTAAGATTTAAACTGATGTTTTGACGTTCACTATCACAAATTTAATTGTCAGTGCATCTTAGATGAAATATCAGTGTGTAGATATAAATTGTCACTTATAATAATCACTAGTGCTTAAATTATTCATTGAAATTTTTTCGAATACGAATATTTTGAAAATACCCCGAGTCGAAGACGACTATAGACAACATAAATGAATATAAACGATATAGAAGCCATTTAAGGGATTTAGTTAGAATGGGCCCGTTCACTTTCATTTTTGAATGTGAATTAATTATATATTTATAAAGATATTAAACTCTTTTGTCTGGTGGTACTTTTCCCGTTAATATATTTTTGCTAGAAGTAAGGGAATTCCCATAAAATTCTTTCAGTGACTCATTGCGTCAGAAAACCCCTAATTCCCTTCAGGTCTCGTATCGGTTAATAGTTAAAAGGGCGCGGTTGTCGGATGTATCATTGCACCACCATTCCTCTTCTGCATTTATTAAAGAAATGTACATGATAAAATTATATTATTTTTTAAAAATAATGTGTTTATATTTTCAGATAAAGCTGGAAGCCTTACCTTTTTTAAATTTTAATAAAAACAATTAGTATTACTCAAGCTGAATATTACCAGATCGAAATTTTATTTGAGAAAATGTATCTGGTAAACGTGACAACGTTGTAAGTACTTCTAAATAGTGTTGTCTACACACACTTCTAGAAATAAATGCAACGATGCCACATTTACCAGATAAATATTGCAAATCAAATTTCTACTTTTTGATTATGGTCTGGTTAATTTTCAGCCTGAGTAATAATAATTGTTTTAATTAAAAAGTAAAAAATAAGCTCCCAACTTTAAATCTGAAAATATAAGTTCATTATTTTTAGAAAAATAATGGAATTTTACTATTTAAATTACATATATAAATGCAGAAAGCATAACCGATACGAGACGTGAACGGAATTAGGGATTTTCTTACGCAATGAGTCACTGAAAGAATTTTATGGGAATTCCCTTACTTCTAGCAAAAATATCTTAACGGGAAAAGTACCACCAGACAAAAGAGTTTAATATTTTTATAAATATATATTTAATTCACATTCAAAAATGAAAGTGAACGGGCCCATTGCTAAAACAAATTATAGAAACTTGATAAAAAAAACTGTTCTTAAGGAGGTCCTTTCGCCACCAATGTTAAATAAAAAATATTAGATTATGACTAAAATTATTTTTTTTCTAATAGTAGAAGTCCTTATTTATCTAATAGTGAACTTTTAACTATACCTCACCGTGCAAATTTTTGAGAAATTTTTTTTTTAAAAATGTGTGTTTGTACAGTGTCTTACGAGAAAGTAAAACTTCAACAACAATTTTCGAATTATAATTAATTTTACTATTATTTATTGATTAGGGGGTGTCCATTAATTACGTGAGGTATTTTTGAGGATTTTTTGACTCCCCCTCCCGCCCTGGCGAGATTTGGTAAGATTTTCCTTAACTCCCTCCCCCCCTTCCCTAATCTCACGTGAGATTTTTCAAAATTTGTGTTTTGGGTGTAAATGTGTTGGATTATTAAAAAAAAAAACAAAAACACAATATGTTCCATTACTTTTATTTAAGACTAGCAAAGACTAGTGTTTGAGAGTGTTGCAATTATTTAAAATCACATTAATAAAATTAAATGATAAATACTTAAATGGAAATTAATAAAAAATAAATAAACATAAGATTTTTCCATATTTTATTCTAGAAATACTATAATTTAACTTTACTTTCACGCAATTTTATACCGTTTTCTACTAGAAAAAAATTACGTGAGATTTACGAAAACCCCCCCTCCCCCCCAAGTGAGATTAAGAAAGATTTAGTTTTATCCCCTCCTCCCCTTGAACACCTCACGTAATTAATGGACGCCCCCTTAGATGGAGTAGAAAAAAACTAAAAATAAGGTTTTTGAAATATTTAGGTTTTGTTTTTTGCAATAAAATATATAGGTTACCGTGGAATTTATTGAGAAATTATTATTAAAAAATCACAAAAAATTTTCAACTAGGTTACTTCAATTTTTTTTTTAATATTAATTTCTCAATCAATTCCAAGGTAACCTATATATTTTATTGTAAAACACAAAACCTAAATATTTCAAAAACCCTATTTTTAGTTTTTTTCTACTCCATCTAATCAATAAATAATAATATAATTCGAGAATTGTTGTTGAGGTCTTATTTTCTCATAAGACACTGCAAAATACTCACATTTAAAAAAAAATTCTCAAAAATTTGCACGGTAAGGTATAGTTAAAAGTTCAACATTAGATAAATAAGGACTTCAACTATTAGCAAAAAAATCTGATGTGTCCAACACATGACTTTCCTATCTAGTTATTACAGGCTTTTTCCGTTTATTGTGTACAACCTATTGCAGCATCTCTATAAATGTTTAGAGGATAAACTAAATATATATACATTGTCCACATACATCTACCGCGAAACATTTTTCTATAGATATTCATTGAAAATGAAAATACTGAAAAATTTAAATTTAGCACTTTTCCTACAATTTTTCCATTACGGTCCATTTAAAAAAAATCATGTATGAACAAATATTATAGAGATCGATATCGCAAACAACTTTTATTTCAACAATTTTCATAAAAATCAGAATTTTGCACATTTTGACAAATTTCTCGAATACGGACCATTTCAGGAAATTTTTACATAAGGCAAAAATTATAGATATTAATATTAGAAGTAACTTTTATTTGAACAATTTTCTTCTCCAAACATAAATAACAGATATATTCCATAAAATATATAAACGGCCTCCCATAAAGTACCCCTCCAGATGTTCCGACTTTGTCCAAAATCTAATCATTTCACGTCAGGCCGAAATAAAACTTAAGTTTAAAATTTATTGATTTTTTCTTTATCCGTTTTTGAGTTTTCTTCAAATTTCGAAATTTACACATTTTCTCAAATATCTCGAATACGGTCCATTTTAGAGAAATTATTTATGGGACAAAAATTATAGAGAATTATATTACAAACAACTTTTGTTTGAACAATTTTTATAAAAAAAAATATTTTTTTACATTTTGTCAAATTTCTCGAATACGGACCATTTTAGGAAAATTTTGTAAATGACAAAAATTATAGATAATAAAATAAGAAGTAACTTTTATTTAAAAAAATTTCTTCCCCAAACGTAAATAACAGATATATTCCATAAAATATAAAAATGACCACCTATAAAGTACCCCCCCAGGTGTTCCGACTCTGCCCAAAATCTAATCAGCTCATTAGACGCTGGAATAAAGCTTAAGTTTGAAATTTGGTGTTTTTCCGTGTATCGGTTCATGAGTTATGCGTTCTACAGACACACACACACACACACACACACACACACACACACACACACACACACACACACACACACACACACACACACACACACACACACACACACAGACACACACACACACACACACACACACACACACACACACACACACACACACACAGACACAGACACAGACACACACACACACACACACACACACACACACACACACACACACACAGACATCATCGCGAAAATAGTCAAAACGGATTCAGGGGACCTCAAAACGTAAAAATCCGTCGAAAACTCGTGGTCGAAAAAAATCATGATTCCTATACTTTCCTTATATCTGTATACAGATAGGAAAGTAAAAAGAAATTTTAGTCATAATCTAATATTTTTTATTTAACATTGGTGGCGAAAGGGGTGGCGAAAGGACCTCCTTAACACTTTAATGATATAGAAAACGATAAATAATGTTTTGGAAAAATAATACTTATTGAATTGAATCTTCAAACTCATTTAAAAAAGTGTTTACATTGTTATCTGATGCATTATACAGGACACCAAAATTTTATTTTTAATTCTAACTTTAATCCACAGCTGTTCGTAAGAGCAAAAAAGGAGTGTCTATTAATTAGGTAACCAGAAAATTTTTTACTAATGTATATCAATAAACACCCACCCCTGGTGGTTCGATCGGCTCTAAATATTTTAAAATTATTTATATGTAAAACATCATCAGAAATGTCAATATTTAATACATACAAAATATGTCAAAAAAATTATTGTCAACTAGCTATTGCCCGCGGCTTTGCTCGCGACTTTGCTCTCATGTAGTCGTGTTAATAATATAAAAAAATAGATGGCTTTCTTTTTTATTAATTTTTATTAGTTTTATTGATTTTTCATTCATTTTTATTCATTTTTTAATATTTATTCATTTTTATTTATTTTTACTCATTTTTAATTATTTTTATTCATTTTTATTCATTTTTATTCACTTTTATTAATTTTCATTCATTTTTATTTATTTTTTATTATTTTTTATTAATTTTTATTAATTTTTATTAATTTTTATTAATTTTTATTAATTTTTATTAATTTTTATTAATTTTTATTAATTTTTATTAATTTTTATTAATTTTTATTAATTTTTATTAATTTTTATTAATTTTTATTAATTTTTATTAATTTTTATTAATTTTTATTAATTTTTATTAATTTTTATTAATTTTTATTAATTTTTATTAATTTTTATTAATTTTTATTAATTTTTATTAATTTTTATTAATTTTTATTAATTTTTATTAATTTTTATTAATTTTTATTAATTTTTATTAATTTTTATTAATTTTTATTAATTTTTATTAATTTTTATTAATTTTTATTAATTTTTATTAATTTTTATTAATTTTTATTAATTTTTATTAATTTTTATTAATTTTTATTAATTTTTATTAATTTTTATTAATTTTTATTAATTTTTATTAATTTTTATTAATTTTTATTAATTTTTATTAATTTTTATTAATTTTTATTAATTTTTATTAATTTTTATTAATTTTTATTAATTTTTATTAATTTTTATTAATTTTTATTAATTTTTATTAATTTAATTTTTATTAATTTTTATTAATTTAATTTTTATTAATTTTTATTAATTTAATTTTTATTAATTTTTATTAATTTTTATTAATTTTTATTAATTTTTATTAATTTTTATTAATTTTTATTAATTTTTATTAATTTTTATTAATTTTTATTAATTTTTATTAATTTTTATTAATTTTTATTAATTTTTATTAATTTTTATTAATTTTTATTAATTTTTATTAATTTTTATTAATTTTTATTAATTTTTATTAATTTTTATTAATTTTTATTAATTTTTATTAATTTTTATTAATTTTTATTAATTTTTATTAATTTTTATTAATTTTTATTAATTTTTATTAATTTTTATTAATTTTTAATAATTTTTATTAATTTTTAATAATTTTCATTAATTTTTATTAATTTTTATTAATTTTTTTTTTTTTGTATGTGCTTTAACTATCAGAATTTTCAGAATAAATGTTTAGCTGCAGCCAACAGACAACAATAGAAGAATGCATTAAAATTTAACATTAACCTTGTATATTTTAGGAGTCAAGACCATCTCCCTTGGTTTCTTCATCTTCTCCTTCAACACTTTCTTCTACAATCAGCGTCGTGACTTCTTCAACTCCGCCTAGTACTACAGCGTACTTGTTAACAACCAGACAGGTAATTTTATCGAATATCTTCAAATATAATTTCATTAATAATAGCAAAACTTTTAGTAATATTTTTTTCTAAAAGTATTTATTGGTATTTGAATTTTGTCTAAATATAATTTTTCGAACTACTTTAAAATTAAAACGTTACGTATTGAATAATAATAATTATCCTCGAATGTATAATTACCTAATACTTAACTTAATTCCAACGATTTCAATAATTATTAAGGAAATAATTACAATGATTTCAATAAACATTCTTGTTAATATATTGTAATCAACTTTCTCCATGCAATTACTGAGCTTGTTGAACAAATCTTATGCATTATAATTGGAGTACCTAGTTTTTGTTTAAAAACCAAAAATATATTTCAGGACTTTCTAAAATATTATTACATTCAACGTTTGAAGTTATTATTTATTAAAAAAAAAAAAAACTATAAACAAGCCTTTAATGTTTTGTTAAAAATATGATTTAATTAATAGATATTATTCATTCTACTTATCAATTTATCCGTGTCTTGTAGAAGGCGTGATATAATATGCTCGACCAAAGAATTTTAAAGTCCACAGATTTATTTATATAAAATTTTGTAATTTGTGTGTTTTAAAGTATATTTATCTCAGAAAATAAGTATTTGCTCACCACACAATTCTTTTGTCTACTGCCATGATCAATTCGGATAACAATGAAAAAAAATTAATATAAATATTTAAAAATGATATTTTAACTTTTTATGAAAGTCATTACTTTGTTAAACCACACCTTGGCTAAGCTCAGACCAATGATTTTGTTTTTTGTAGTTGCATCTTTAGCAAATTTATTTTATATTATACTATTTTGTTACTAAGGGCTTGAACTCGCACAGGGGCGTATTTTAATCACGTGAACTGTTTATTTATAATTTGTACATAGCGATTTTAAATATTTTTATTGCAGATAAATGATAACGACAACGAAATAAAACCAAAACCATCGACACCTTCTCCGAAAATTACATCCACGTCTCCGCGTTGGAGTAGATCAAGATATTCGCCTTCAACTACTACCCAAGCTGTTAGAGATGATTCATCAACCAGGAGACAATCTTTTAGAACTACAACTTCTTCGACTACGTTATCAAGAGGAACTAAACACTTCATAACGTTTCCGTCTAGAGCAAATAGTTCTGTACCAAAATTAGATAGAAACGTTTCTTTTAAACCGAGAATATCTAATAGTGAAAATGAAATTAGGAGATTCAATAGAGGAAGAAATGCGAAACAACCATCTGAGTCAAACGTTTATTCCACCAAGGTAGGAAATTTTGAAATAATAAAAGTATTTTTATAGTTATAATCAACGACGAACAACTACTAGACCAATTTTGTTTATAAAAACCGAATTGCAAACATTCACGGTGTAGTTGATGGTTGTAATTTTGAATTAAGTCAACAGAAGGCTTTCAAAATTACATTAAGGAAGTAAATTTGCATTCTTATTATCAGTTATTATGTTTTTATTATCTTTTTCCGATTGTAACTATTATTGTAGCTAAAAATAAATGACAGAAAAGCGTGGCAACTGTGTAAAGCATGAGTAACGCAGGAATTGTAGTTGTAAGAGTTGGTTCATTCGTACAAACCATTCCCACTCAACTTGATGGGAGTTTTCCCCTTTTTAATGCAGCAGCCGATGCGACAGCTCTATCATAAAACCTGAGTTGAATACTTGCAAGTTAATAACGGCTTGATTGTGAATGAATGGATTATAGTCTGAATCAGAGATAACAGAGATATAAGCAGTCATTCATAAAATATAATATTCATGGTGCCAACAATAGTTCGTACTGTATACATTCTATTTCTAGACGCGGGGCGAGGCGACGAAAGGTGAGAAGTAAGAGAAGGGATAGGGTGAAGAATTTTACGTAGTTTTATCAATGAATAACTGCGCGAGCTTATACTACATAACGTAAATTTCCATGCCGGTGTAAGCCCTGTTGCCACTTCCAACCTAACATCACTAGGTTTTGGAATATGTTGAAAATTATTACATATTAATGAAATTATATCTAATTTGATTAAAAATGGCTATTTTTTGTTTTAATGCTCAATTAGGTCTTTGTAGGAAATATTTTTTTTATAATTATTTAAAAAAAATCATTTACATTAGCCCTTATGGTCGAAAAAAAAATTCTCGGTTTCAATCGTCTACAAATTTGTATAAAAAAAAATGTTCTTTTAGAAATATACCTCTCATTTGACGAAAAACGAAGGCATAAATGAAAAAAAAACTATTCTTTATAAAACTGTCGCCTATGTATTGACATGGTAAAAGTACTTTCGTCATATTTTTTGCTTTTAAATTAACAAAAATATAGCAATAAACAATTAGTGATGTCATAGTTTTACTAGAAAGCAAACATTAAAGGCAGAGCCTCTCGACTCTTTATGCATCTATCTCAGTATTGAAATGTATGCAGTTTGACTCTCTTATATTATATTATACAGGGATTATTGATTTATCCACTATGAATAATAGGGTGTATTAATTACTTCAAGATTTTTTTTTATTTTTGGTGGAAAATGAAAAATAAGAAAATATAAACTATTTATTGAAGGTACTCCGGTACAACATTTATACCCAACGCGTTATAAAAATCATGTGATCACCGTACCTAGAATGGAAAAGACTCTAGGGCAAAGAAGTTTTGTATATCTCGGTTCTAAAATATTTAACTCACTTCCGGTGGAATTTAAAAACCTAAATTCTATAGCTCTTTATAGGTCTAAATTACAACAATGGATATTAACTAAGCAACGACAAAAATTTCATAACTTTATTAATTTAAATATAACTAAAATCTAAAACGAACTTACCTGCAATTATCCAATTATTTATGTATACAATAATTATTTATAAACTATTCAATGCTGTAGCTAATTTGTCTCTATAATAAATAAAAGAAAAAATAGTAAAAAAAAAAGAAATGCTATGTAGAATATAATTCTCAAAGTATCCCACGCACAAGGTTCGCCTTTAGTGGAACCACTATTTATTCACATAGACAATTTTTTTTCTGTTAAATATAAGTTAAAATTGTAATTCGATTTTTAAAGTGAATAAATTTATTATTATTATTATTATTATTTATTGAAGTATCAATTATAAACAGTAAGGCTATTGCTTTGCAAAATACAATAAATCCCCAATATAAATAAATTATAATAATAATAATAATAATTGGAAGGAAGTATATAAAGCATAAATTAATAATATTAAAATTTATAATTACACGACTTTAAAACTAATCAGAATCAGATTCACCACACGAATCAACATTTTCCAAAACATTAGCGGCTGTGCCATACAGGTGCAGGAACCGATACAGCAAATATTTTTTTTCTGCATTTGCAAATTTTGCTTCCACAGTCTAGAATAGAATATTATTGTTAGAATATTGTATAGTATATTTTTTGCATTTGCATGATGTAAGTTCTGTTATGTCTGGTGGAAGGTCGGGCAGAGTCTTAAAAGTGGGTATCAGACTTCCATCTTGATCTACTTTCCATCCATACTCTTCAATATTAGCAAGCTGCATCTGGGTTTAAAGAGGTTAGCCAAATATTTAGCTGGTAAAAACATCTTAAACAATGTAGTCTTAGGGCGTCTTCAGTCGGTCGCAATTTAGCGATGGTTTTTGAAGAGGCCAATAATCCCCTCAAAATGTTAATGGAAGTAACATTGGCAGTTTTGAATAAATTTTTATGAAAATTCTTTCAAGATTAGAGAATATGTTTTCAGAGTACTGATCAATGCCAAATCCATCCAAAAAGTAATGGTGTTCAAGGTAGGTTTTCCAACAGGTTCTTTTCCCAATGCCGGATAATTAGCTGGTTGTATTACAACCGGTCAGAGAATGAAAAGCAGGCACATTTTTTAGAAGGTTTTCATCCAAATTTGTACTGTAGAAATCGTCTTGAGTCTCCTCGCCTTGTTCTGAACCATATATCTTTAGTCAAAAACTTCTTAAAATAAATTAATAAGACATCTGTATCGTTGCAATAAATAATGCAGCGTGAATGCCCCGAATTTTTGGCTGACAATATGTGCAATAAGATACGATTATTAGCGTCTTCGTGATTTGAATTTAAAAAATCGTCTTTTGATGGTTCAAAATTCTTTCCATATTTATTGATTTTCGCGAGTTTTGAAGAAGTTGCTCTGGCAGAAAATGTGTTAAACGTCTTTTGTTAAATATCGAATGAATAAACAAGTTCTATTGTTGCAGAAGTATCAATTGATTTCTGAAATCCTCTCTTTTGACGTGTTGTATTTTTGATAGAATGTCCTTTATAATGATCAAATACCACATCTATCATTTGTGCATTAAATTTATTTCTAAAAATAATGTTTACAAATATATGAGCATATTCTTTAAATGATATGCAACTTTTGGGCTTTCCTATTTTGATATAATTTTTGTCTTTGCTACTTGCAGCAACAAATCCGTAATTAAAATTTTAAACGAAAACTTATAACTTACCCAAATATATTCAGCTGCAACAGGATGAATGTAGACATAATAAAGATGCAAAAATGTCTATATTTTTCCCAATTTATTAGGTAATTTAATATATACCTAACACATACACTTATTAATTCTTTAGTAAAAACAGATAACAATATGACACATTGCCCAATGGAACATAACGAGAAGTTTTATAATAAAAAAAATGAAAAATCCTACCATATCAATAATGTGATACATCAGCCGGCACGTAGAGAGAAACAGAGCTATGCTACGTTTGAAGGTGAAGAGAAAGATACACTGAGAGTCGATAAATTTGGCGGTGAGAATTAATAACAGTATAAACCTATGACATCTCTCATCGTTTATTGTTATATCTTTGTTAATTCAAAAGCAAAAAATATGGTGTTTACTCTGTTACATTGTCAACACATAAGCAAACATTTTATAAGGAATGTTTTTTTTTTCATTTAGGCCTTCGTTTTTTGTTAAATGAGTGGTATATTTAAAAAAGACGACTTTTTAACTAAATTTTTGAAGGGCTAAAACCAAGATATTTACGTTTATATTTTTTTTCGGCCGTAAGTGCTAATGCAAATGATTTTTTTTAAGTAAGTATGAACAATTACTCCCTACAAAGATTTTATTGTGCATTTAATCAAAAAATTAATATTTTTTTCTCTATTCGGTGGTATCAACATCTGGATTTTTGATGATAATGCCCTTCTGCACACTCTAATTTTGTATTAACTCCGGAATAAGGGTTACCTTATCATGACCTTTCATCTGTGAAAAATTCAGCCTTGTGACAAAAGAGTGGGAGGTGAATCGTTTTCTTGAGCGAATATTTTAATACATACACTTTACTAACAATGACAACAGCGGATATTATGTCCTACTGTGTCCCTTAGAATATGTCTCATTCACGGCCGCACGATATTTGTTAGTAGTTACATCTCCTGCAGGGTTATTCTACTAAATTTATAGCCCGGCTACAAGTTGGATTTTGGCTTGAACTTTATATGTTCCTAACTTCAAAATCCAACTTGTAGCCGGGCTATAAACTTTTAGCTGGGCTATAAATTTAGTAGAATAACCCTGCTGGTTATCTCTGGTCTGAATAAACAAGAATTGCAGTAAAAGTGGGGATGTACCATATTCTATAGGCTGTAATAAGTCGGCGTTAATTTCAATAAACTCTTCAACTTTGAAAACACTTGTAAAAAAATTGGCTAGCTCTTTAATATTTGACACCAAATATTACTTACCTTTAATCCAATTAAAAAAAAAAGAAATGAGCAATTTGACCATATGGTTTTCTCAGTCGTGAATTCGGCTTTTTCTAATAGACACCTTTGGGTAAATAGTTTTCAGGAAAAAAAAGGGCGCCAATATGTTCGCTTCCTAAACAAAAAATAAATTCTGTTTTTCACGAGGCTCTTGTATGAGATATAAATTAAACTTTTAAACAACAATTTTTTAAAATTTCCAACAATAAAAATTAATACAATTCCAGCCACATAAAAGGAATTACTAAACCATATTGAAAAAATTAAAATTGACTTACAAAAAATAAACAAAAAGTAGAAATATAATTTTTACTGAGATATTTTTTTGGTTATGGGTCCAATAGAGAGCAATAGAGAGTATTAAATCTTTTCAACATACCATCTTTTCAACACACCCTACTTTCAACATACCATACTTTTAACACAGCATACAATCAACACATCATACTTTCATCAGCATGTTTTATATTTTTAGGTTGTGTAGAATAATTATTTTTTTAATAGCAGACATTAAATTAAAAAAATTTTTAGGTTCCAAAATATTCTACTACCGTAAAAAAATTCGATCGTGGTAAATACAGAAGTGGGTCGACAACAATTGCTCCCAAATATATACCAACCATTCCGTCTGTACCATACGTACCCACGGTACCCATAGTGACCACGCCTAGAACTTGGGTAAGTGCATAAATTAAAAACTACATATTTATAATTGTTTAAAACTTACATAAATTTCTTAACAACTATTTTTAAATATATCCAATTATCCCTAACAACATACAGGATGGATCCAGCAGCATTTTTCACCTCTTTAGAATAGACGTAGGTACTCTTAAGAATTTTTAGAATATATTCAGTTAAGGTACACTATTTTTGACGTAGAGTCCGATTACAATAAGAAGAACAGAGCTACGTCATTATTTGGTAAAGTAATTAATTATTATAATTAATATTATAGGAATATAGGAAATATTTTTTTTTTGTACTTATCAACTTTCTTATTGTTTATTTATTGATAGTTATAGATAATATTTATTCAAAATTGGAAGTAGCGGTGTTTTTCTTATTGTAATCAGATCCTACCATTAGAGCCCTATAGAGTTGATGGTCACGTCTATTTTTATCCTCATAATACAAGGATGCAGATAGTGTGGATTTTGTAAATGGTTAGATATACAAATTTGGTTAAATGTGGTGTAGGACTAAACTGGAATTAAATAACATATAAGATCTCCAAATGGTTTTTTTTATCTTAGTCGTGGGCGTCCTATTTTATTCTTTCCTAACGATCTGGTTTTATAAATATCTTATTTGTCCTTCTTCCTTCATCCTATGTACCTATGAGACCTATAACCAATCAATCTTCTCGGTAGTCGAATGTATCAAGTGGCCCTTTCATATCGCAAACCAAACCAAGTGAATTTTTAATTAATTTGCTTAATTTGCTATAGGATTAGATGGGTGTCGCATTAGCAGTAATACATTCGATAACGATGATGATGGGTCTACTGTATCTGTAAATTAAATAATACTTTCAATCATCTGTAAGTCGCCTAGGAGCGCCAAATTATACTAATAGCCGTCCCTTCCTTGCACAAGCTCAGTATAGTCCTGGAGTTAAAAATTCACTTGTAAGGGAGTTATTTATAGAACGACTATTAATATTGTCTTTTCGCTAATAACTAATTCTATCTTTTCATTTTGCATTTAATTCTGTATCTTTCTGTAACAATAAAATACATCCTTAAAAAATTGCCCACTATGTCAATGTAGTCATTAAAAGATAATGCTGAATTAAAAGTAACGCCCAAATCCACAAAGTTATTCGGTCTGCATAATAGAGTGTTGCCTCTAGAGTAATTGTAAGCAATTGGATCAGAGCTTAGTGAATAAGACATGACATTACACTTCGAGGGATTCAAATTTAGGTTATTTTCCCGACCCCATTCGATAGCTCTCAGATTTGCAGATAGCCTTTCACAATCCGCGGCGTTCTTAATTGTTATGTAAAATTTAAAGTCGTCAGCGTAAATTAAAGAATCAACATCAACTCCATCCACGATGTCATTCACGAATATGTTAAACAGCAACGGGCCTAGATTTGGTCCCTGAGGAACACCGGAGATGGCAGAATACTGATCAGACTTAAGTCAATTTAATTGAACGTATTGTGTTTTGTTGATGAGATGTGATATAAGAAGCCGAATAAGATTGTTTGTAAGTCCAAAAGAGGCTAGTTTTTTTTACCAAAATGCCTTTGTCATATCCGTTGAGTGCTTTCTTCAATAATATTCATTAATTAGTTTTATTAATATATATTATCGCCATTGTTTTATGTGTTTTTAGTATTTTATTTTTTTACAATTATTACATTTTTATTTTAAAATGTACCTAAAGTACAATTGGGGTGTCTCTTCTTGTGGTTTTTTTTGTTGTTTTTAAAGCGGTGTCGTTTAACAAAAAAAGGCCAACAATCATTAACCAACACCGCTCTAAAAAAAATAAAAACCACACGAAGAAGTACTCCAATTGTACTAGAAATAATAAAACTAATGAATAAATATTATTGATGAAAGTACTGAACACTTCTCTACAAACTGGTTTTTTAAAAGTCACAGTTAAGTTGTTCATAAGGCTAGAAAATGGGATTTTCACTCACTCCACTCTCATTCCACTCCACTCTCACTCCACTCTCACTCCACTCTCACTCCACTCTCACTCCACTCTCACTCCACTCTCACTCCACTCTCACTCCACTCTCACTCCACTCTCACTCCACTCTCACTCCACTCTCACTCCACTCTCACTCCACTCTCACTCCACTCTCACTCCACTCTCACTCCACTCTCACTCCACTCTCACTCCACTCTCACTCCACTCTCACTCCACTCTCACTCCACTCTCACTCCACTCTCACTCCACTCACACTCCACTCTCACTCCACTCTCACTCCACTCTCACTCCACTCTCACTCCACTCTCACTCCACTCTCACTCCACTCTCACTCCACTCTCACTCCACTCTCACTCCACTCTCACTCCACTCTCACTCCACTCTCACTCCACTCTCACTCCACTCTCACTCCACTCTCACTCCACTCTCACTCCACTCTCACTCCACTCACACTCCACTCTCACTCCACTCTCACTCCACTCTCACTCCACTCTCACTCCACTCTCACTCCACTCTCACTCCACTCTCACTCCACTCTCACTCCACTCTCACTCCACTCTCACTCCACTCTCACTCCACTCTCACTCCACTCTCACTCCACTCTCACTCCACTCTCACTCCACTCTCACTCCACTCTCACTCCACTCTCACTCCACTCTCACTCCACTCTCACTCCACTCTCACTCCACTCTCACTCCACTCTCACTCCACTCTCACTCCACTCTCACTCCACTCTCACTCCACTCTCACTCTACTCTCACTCTACTCTCACTCTACTCTTACTCTCTCACTTACACTCTCTATAACTTGACTATCGTTTCAACTAGGAAGAACTGGTTTGCACCATTAAATTCATCTTTAAATTCTCTACAAACTGGTTTTTTAAAAGTCACAGTTAAGTTGTTCGTAAGGCTAGAAAATGAGATTTTCACTCTCACTCCACTCTCATTCCACTCCACTCTCACTCCACTCTCACTCCACTCTCACTCCACTCTCACTCCACTCTCACTCCACTCTCACTCTACTCTCACTCTACTCTCACTCTCTCACTTACACTCTCTATAACTTGACTATCGTTTCAACTAGGAAGAAGTGGTTTTCGCCATTAAATTCATCTTTAAATTCTCTACAAACTGGTTTTTTAAAAGTCAGAGTTGAGTTGTTCGTAAGGCTAGAAAATGGGATTTTCACTCTCACTCCACTCTCATTCCACTCCACTCTCACTCCGCTCTCACTCCGCTCTCACTCCACTCTCACTCCACTCTCACTCCACTCTCACTCCACTCTCAGTCCACTCTCACTCCACTCTCACTCCACTCTCACTCTACTCTGACTCTCTCACTTACACTCTCTATAACTTGACTATCGTTTCAACTAGGAAGAAGTGGTTTGCATCATTGAATTCATCTTTAAATTCTCTACAAACTGGTTTTTTAAAAGTCACAGTTAAGTTGTTCATAAGGCTAGAAAATGGGATTTTCACTCTCACTCCACTCTCATTCCACTCCACTCTCACTCCACTCTCACTCCACTCTCACTCCACTCTCACTCCACTCTCACTCCACTCTCACTCCACTCTCACTCCACTCTCACTCCACTCTCACTCCACTCTCACTCCACTCTCACTCCACTCTCACTCCACTCTCACTCCACTCTCACTCCACTCTCACTCCACTCTCACTCCACTCTCACTCCACTCTCACTCCACTCTCACTCCACTCTCACTCCACTCACACTCCACTCTCACTCCACTCTCACTCCACTCTCACTCCACTCTCACTCCACTCTCACTCCACTCTCACTCCACTCTCACTCCACTCTCACTCCACTCTCACTCCACTCTCACTCCACTCTCACTCCACTCTCACTCCACTCTCACTCCACTCTCACTCCACTCTCACTCCACTCTCACTCCACTCTCACTCCACTCTCACTCCACTCTCACTCCACTCTCACTCCACTCTCACTCCACTCTCACTCCACTCTCACTCCACTCTCACTCTACTCTCACTCTACTCTCACTCTCTCACTTACACTCTCTATAACTTGACTATCGTTTCAACTAGGAAGAAGTGGTTTTCGCCATTAAATTCATCTTTAAATTCTCTACAAACTGGTTTTTTAAAAGTCAGAGTTGAGTTGTTCGTAAGGCTAGAAAATGGGATTTTCACTCTCACTCCACTCTCATTCCACTCCACTCTCACTCCGCTCTCACTCCGCTCTCACTCCACTCTCACTCCACTCTCACTCCACTCTCAGTCCACTCTCACTCCACTCTCACTCCACTCTCACTCCACTCTCACTCTACTCTGACTCTCTCACTTACACTCTCTATAACTTGACTATCGTTTCAACTAGGAAGAAGTGGTTTGCATCATTGAATTCATCTTTAAATTCTCTACAAACTGGTTTTTTAAAAGTCACAGTTAAGTTGTTCATAAGGCTAGAAAATGGGATTTTCACTCACTCCACTCTCATTCCACTCCACTCTCACTCCACTCTCACTCCACTCTCACTCCACTCTCACTCCACTCTCACTCCACTCTCACTCCACTCTCACTCCACTCTCACTCCACTCTCACTCCACTCTCACTCCACTCTCACTCCACTCTCACTCCACTCTCACTCCACTCTCACTCCACTCTCACTCCACTCTCACTCCACTCTCACTCCACTCTCACTCCACTCTCACTCCACTCTCACTCCACTCTCACTCCACTCTCACTCCACTCTCACTCCACTCTCACTCCACTCTCACTCCACTCACACTCCACTCTCACTCCACTCTTACTCCACTCTCACTCCACTCTCACTCCACTCTCACTCCACTCTCACTCCACTCTCACTCCACTCTCACTCCACTCTCACTCCACTCTCACTCCACTCTCACTCCACTCTCACTCCACTCTCATTCCACTCCACTCTCACTCCACTCTCACTCCACTCTCACTCCACTCTCACTCCACTCTCACTCCACTCTCACTCCACTCTCACTCTACTCTCAC